TTGTGGCGTAGATTTTTAGAGAGAGAAATAAAGGGAAAAAGGAATCTCAGAGCTCCAGTTCACAGATTTGACCGATTCCACAATTCCTTTCCTCTACCACGACACTTGAATTCAGGTACGTGTTCGCCGTCCTATTGAATAATCCTGATTTGATTCGCCGTCTTCTGTTTTTGTTTTGATTCTGTCGGTTTGATCGTGTTTAATTCTGCTGTTAGATCGAATCCCGTTGCTTTTACGCGTTAGGTTTTTTCTTTCCAGATCTATGGGATTGTATGTTGGATGCTAATTTGTTCTCTTAAGACTTGAAAAGATATTCCAATCTGAATTCAATAATAAGCACGTACTGTTGTTGGTAAATAGTTTTTGCTTATGAAAATGATTTTAGACTTCCGGTTGTTGCTTTTTTAATGGGATTTTTCTTTTTGTTTGGCTGCTTTTGTGGATAATTTGTTAGTTTTTATGAAGGTGAAAGCGATGTGATTAATCGATTTGTTTTGTGATGGTTTAACTTACTGAATTGATTATCTCTTTGACATTAGCAGGACTCTTGGGTTTGTTTGCTATGGCTGCTACTGCTACTGCTCCTTCTGCAGTCCGTTATGCACCTGAGGATCATTCTCTTCCCAAGCCTTGGAAAGGGCTTGTGGATGATAGAACTGGGTACTTGTACTTTTGGAATCCAGAGACCAATGTTACTCAGTACGAGAGACCAACTTCCTCTCAACCACCCAAGTTTGCTCCGGTATCTGTAAGCTCTTCTGTTCAGGTTCAACAAGCTTCATCCGGAGCAAATGGTAGCTATGGTCCTGCCAAGGATGATGATAAGTACCGTAGAGGCAGTGAAGCTGGGCCTAAGATTGAGTCTGGGTCGAGGTTTAGTGAGGTACTGACCAATTGTTTGAAATTCTGCCATTTGTATTTGGTTTTGTTTATAACTATTATTCTCTTTCTCTAGCATTATCTGATACTGGTTGCTAAAGCTGAAATCTTGATATATTATTCCTCTTCTTTTGTTTTGCTCATCTTAATTATTCTTTTTTTTCAATTTGCTAAAGGGTGGTAGGAATG